TTCTAAAACTTCAACAATTTTATTATAAATTTGTGGACCACTATGATCCACATCCATTAATCTAAATCCCAATAAAGATTTATTTAATTTACATTCGTTATCAAAATAATTACTAGTCACACAAATATAATCTTGTTTAGCTTTAGCACTCCAAATATCGGTGGTTAGAGCCACACTAACATGACAACTATGTATTTTATTTTTTAATTCTACTTTCATTTTCCCAAACAATTTTATTAAATCATTTCTGATTGCAGTTTGAGAATAACTTTTAAATCCTGGAAAAAATGAATTTTTAATAAATCTTTCAAAATATTTATCTTCAATCATATTAATAGGTTTATCAGTTGCAACAATATATAAAGCTAATTGTTCTCTATATACATCAGAATTATAACGTCAAGTAGTACCCATATTAGTTATTTGAGTTTGATTGGTTTCTTTATTTCCATGTTGAACAATATATTTATTAGCATGTTTTTTTAAAGTACTAATACTATTGCCTGAATCAGCTTTATAAATATTTCCACAATACTTGCATCTTGCTTTCTTCACTTGAACTTCATTTTTTGTCTCGTAAAACTTATCGAAATGCACCCAAACGTCTTATGTGTTTCTGTCGTCGGTTTTGACAGTAGTTGATGAACCCGTTTCAGCTTCAGATGAAGTTGGACGAGGACGACTTCTATAACCACCGGAGCTGTAGCAGTATGTGGAGGAATTGAGGGAATATTATGAGGTGTATCCGACTCTAAGACTGGGAATGCAGGACTATTTGAATCTATTGCATTTATGTTAGTAAATTCAAGGGGACTAGGATAGTAGTTTCCTTCATCATCAGAATTTACAGGATGGAAATATCTATCCATTGTAGTTAAAAAAAAAAAAATTTGATATAAAAGAAATAAAAAAATTAAAGAAAAAAATTAGAATTTGGAAATATGAATTGAAAATTGCAAAAACTAATAAAAATTAAAATGAGAGCAAATTGACAACAAAGAGAATAATTGAGAGATTTCAATAGAGATTGGAGAGAATTAGAGAATATGAGAATTTGGGATGTGAGAAAATATGAGAGTTTATGCCCTATTTATAGAAAAAAATGGGAAAAAAAATGACAAAAAAGACCCCTCCAACTGCTATAAAACGGCTATATTTCAAAGGTAAAATGGGTATTTGCAAAAAAAATTATTATTTAATTTTTTTCGTCCAACCCGCAGGTCAACCCGCTTGGCTTGCAATGGCCAACCCGCCGGGTTTGAGGGTTTTTTTGTTTAAAATTAAAAATTTAACTCACCGGGTTGACATATTAAAACACAGCCTACCTAGTGAGGTATATGCGGATCGGGTTCAACCCGGCCCGCCTTTTAGGTAGTCCGGATTGAACCCGTCTTAATATGGGCCAGGTTAGGGTTGACCCGCCTAACTCGGCCTATTTGTTCCACCTCTACACCCAACCCCGGACCCCCCTTCCCTTTAGCTAGGACAGGGACAGCCTCATACATCCAAGCTTTTGTTATCACACGCCATTAGGTTGGAATGCAAGAACCATACTAGGCACATCTTAAACTTCTCCGAAGAGGTATACCCTTCTTCTCCTAACCTATCCTCTAAATCACGTGCTATAATAGACGCCTGCCCCCCCAAAACCTTTCTAACAAAGGTTTCGACTGCCCTACTCTTCTTTATTTTCTCTTCCTCTTCTGCTTCTAGAAATGCCCCACATCTTAGGCCTATCATCAAGGCAAATTCCATCATCCTAAAATGTAATGGCTTCCCATCCACCACGAACCACATTTCATTTTTTTTTTTTTTTTTTTTTTTGCTTTTAACTGAGTGCAGCAACATATGATGTGCTGCCTACCCCCAGAACTCCTTCTTCCAGTAGTCTCCTATGTCCACAAAATGACCTAAACAACTATCTTTAAATTAGTCCATACCCCTCTTTTGTTCACCTAAAATCTCATTTATTCTCAACCTAATCGTCACCCTCACGAGGAAGTATGGTATCCTATCGATTACAACCTCCAACCCATAGTCTTTATAATTTATGCTTCGGCAACACTGCACAATCGATATAAACTAAATATTACCAAAAAAAAAAAAAAAACCAAAACAATCAATAGGCTGTCAATCTAGAGGATATGGGCTTCAAGGGCATTGGAGAGTGAGTGTTTTTGGTTTCGAGAGGATCGGGGAAGCCAATGTAGGCTCTATAGAGGCTGTTGTGGCAGGTTCAATGACTTGAGATAGTTGGGGATGGCAGGAGTGGGAGGAATAAGGGGGCTGGGGGCTACCGGCGCACGCAGCTACACGTGGCCAGCCCTGCAATATGCAGGGCAGCCCCTCTATTCCGCCCGCTCCTACCATCCCCAGCCCTCCAACCTCCCACAAACAACCTCTCTACGGCCTCCCTTGCCTTCTCCCATCCTCTGGAACCCAAACACAGGCACTCTCCCAATGTCCGCCAACTGCTCGACAAAATACCAGAATCGCCCTAACAATCAAAATCAACTAAATATCCCCCAAATTGGAACCAACAAAGAATTTTTTTTCATAAAATGGTAAGGAATGTACCTATTCTTCCTCCTCATCGCCTAAATTTGCGTCAGCGTCCTCGTCTTCAAAAGCATTTACGGAGCCTACTGTATGTTCTTGTGCCGCCGTCATGTGCTCTATCGCTAGACCACCTTCACTGATCGAAAGATCCACCAGAACCTTTTCTTTGACAACCTTTGAACAGTTGTCACCGCCACCAAACTCTAGAATTTGGAGTGAGGCTGGGTTTTCCTCCGATTTGTTAATATCAGTCATGGTTTGTTTGTGTAATTAACAGGGAAATGAAAATCTAAAGAGCAACGGTTTGTCGAAAAATGGGAACTTTAATCGCCGAAAATCGCAAGAGAGAAGGGGTGTTTTCGTCGGTCGCTTATTTTGGGTGGCCTCCCTCAATTAATCGATTTTGAATTGGAGGGATCATTTTTTAATTTCAAAATTTAAACCAATTTCCATTAATTAACTATTACCCATATATGTTTAAATATTTTCAGTCTAAACCCCTTTTCGCATGTTTAGTGATTCTTAAGTGTGCCACGTCATTTTTCAAAGTTAAAAAAAAAATGCAAAATTATTTCATTTTCTTAAATGCAAACTCGGTAGTTCACGACAGTTAAATTTCCTCCTTTTAATTTCATTATTATTAGGCAATTAGCCTTATCTGTTTTCGTGTATTCTCGTGCATTGTTATCTGATTTGAAAGTATTTAAGAAGTAAAATCAGTGGAAATAATTATTGGAAAAAAAAAAAATCTCAATAGAAGATTGTTATGCAATTGTACGTGCTAGCTCATGCAGCATTGCGGTTTTCTGTCTTAGCTATTATTCGGAATTTCCATGGACAACAGCTCCCAGTTAACTTCTTCACCAGAAAAAGGACCAAGCAATGAGATTGAAGATTCCTAGAAGGAAAAACTAGGATAACGGTAATAGCTATCTCTATCAATACCAAGGATTTGGTGCCCATCTAGATGCATTCACGGAATTATCTCCTTTCAAAAGCATTCCCAAGCTCGAAATACTGACATCATATTAACTTCGCTCCCAAAAGGTGGCACTACTTGCTAAAGGCCCTCACGTTTTTCGATACAAAATGGGTCTCGTTTCGCACTAAAAGACACCCCTATGCTCACTATCTTTCCTCATGAGCCCATTTCGTCGAGTTTGATCTTTATAACAAGAAAGAAAAAAAGAAAAAAACCAATCTCCTGATCTTGAAGAATTGCCAACACCAAGGATTTTCGCAACGCATACCCTGTAGGCTTCACTACCGCCTTTCATTGTAAATTCTAATCGTCGTACTGTTTACATCTCCAGGAACCAATTCATCTCCTTATGCCGTTTCTTGAGCCAATTCACCGCGGAAATGCTGACGGTGGGGGAAACATTCGAGATGATTTATGATGGATATGTTGGGGTATTGGAAGGCTAGCTTTAGAGCAACTGCAAAAGATACTGTTCTTTCAAGTATGAAAATTTGAAAGAAGATATCAACTACCATGTTAAAAGATTGGCTGATTTCTTAAGAAATTCTTTCTCTGACGAAGAAGAAAGTGAAGGGATTGTAAAAGAAATATCGAAGCTATGTAGACAACATAAGAAATTTAGAGGTGAACACAATCGGAATAAACTCTGCTGGATTTAGAAAAGATAGTTACTTTAGAAAAGGGGAGGTGGGAGATGGGAGAAATTATATTAAAAACTAATGGAAGAAAATATAAAGCTCAGCAAACATACCCCTAAAAAATACGGTTAAATCCCTACAGGTTTGAAATTTAGCAAACACATCCCAAATACAAATCAGCGGTCCACTGGTTGGCTATGACAACACACCAAATGTAATCTCAATCATCCCTCGAGGCATTCCTCATAAAATCTACCTAAGATCTGACCAAAATCGACCAGATCTCACCACTGCCAACGTCAACAACTCAGGCCAAATCTCATCACTGCCGACGTTGACAACGCTCCTCACCACAAAAATACTTTCGTTAACCTTCTAAACAAAATCCACATTACTTCACCCCTATTCACCTCACTAATCGCCAACAACATACGAATGCTGCTGCGGCAAGTTTTTTTGAATTTCCTATCGATTCACTCATTATAAATCACTTAAGTCACCACCATTAGACTCACCCACCCTTCTTCTTCAAAACCCCCAACCTCCCAACCTTCAATTGTTTGTCGATCATCAACCCAAATTTTAAGATTTTCAAGGAATAAAAAAAAATTTAACCCAATTCAGTGTGTTTGTCATCTTTCTCATTACTATATGTTTTGATTGGAATTCTTTTTCCTTGGTCCATTTTTCGGTATTTCTTTTAAAGTAAATAAATAAATAGCTTAGTGTTTGTAATTATTCTAGCGACAAATTTCGAATTTCGATTGAAGGATCGAGAAAAAAAAAAAAAAAAAAAAAAACAAACAAAATAAGGATGAATGAATACCCTACCAGAAAACAGTTGATTACATAGAAAGGGAAAGATTTTGGCATCAGGCTAAACCATATAATACTTCTATATTTCTCGGTCCTCGTGAGTTGAAAATTACATAAATTAGCGAGGATAATGTGACTGATGACATGAAACTTACAAGGGGTTTAACTCATCTGAAATGATTAACAGTAGTCTTTCCACGGTTTAATGAGATGATTAACTGGCCTCAATTTTCAGCACAACACCAAGTCACCAACACCAAAATGCCAGTGAACCTTGAGCAATCATTTCCATATTGGCTAGCACCTCCACTCGTCATCGCATGTTCCACCCCAAATACAAATGACAGGAAAAGAAAAAAAGAGTTCAAGATCGTTAGGACACCGCAGTAGACAACTTTAATTACTATATTTTGGAAACCTCATTGATATTGAATCTAAACAACAATTCCCTAACACCCCCCCTCATTTGTGAAAAAGCAAAACAAAATATCAGCTTCCATTATCTCAAATGTTGAAAAACATATTCAAACAGTATAAACCACCGGAAGGAAAGAGTCTGAAAACACAAGTTTTATTTGCATCATAAAGTCAATGGATCTCTTCTATCGATTGAAACGCAGCCTATAACTTAAATGCCACAATCGATCTTTTATCAAGATATCAATATCATCCCTCAGCTCAAGACTCAATAGACACTTCTTCAGCCAAACTTAAGCCCTTGGAAGTACTTGTGACATATATAATTGCACGTTTTTCATACAGCATAGCAATTTTTTTCTCTAATTTAATGGAATTTATGACGCCCCACGATTGTAAAAATTATACCCACCATTCATTGAAATTGAGTTCAACCACCAAACTCATGACCATGAACAATACAGTTTGCATTGTTATCACACAATCAAACAGTAAACTGAACAACACAAAGCTTGAGACAACCATGCAGACACGAAAGTAGAAATTTTTCATAAACATCTTGGCAGCATCATCACACGTTTTCATTTATGAGAAGAATGCAACTATCTCGACATTGAAGGGGGTGAAAAATAATTTAACAGCAGGCAAAATGCAAAGCCTTCAAAATTATATTAAGCCCGCATTGGTCTTGTTACCAAACGCAGGCAGAACCTCAGGAGACATAATTTCTAACCCGTTATGGTTTTCATTTATGAGAAGAATGCAACTATCCAGACATTGAAGGGGGTGAAAAATAATTTGACGGCAGGCAAAATGCAAAGACTTCAAAATTATATTAAGCCCGCATTGGTCTTGTCACCAAATGCAGGCAGACCCTCAGAGACATAATTTCTAACCCGTTATCGTTTTCATGAAGAGTATAATATCTCATCTCAGACAAATCAAGTTGTAAACCCTAATTTGTCAAAAGTGAAACATCAACTAGATGTAAAAGGGAAGTACAAGGCAGACCCTTAACCAATCTCCACAGTGAAGGACAAGTTTCAGCTTCTCATTACAGAACATGATCCATGAGTGTTGCTCATAGTTTATAACATAACATTCAACTTACAAGCTGTCATCCTACCATAACTATCAGTTATGACAAATACAGAAGACATACAACACCTTTGATGAAAAGACTAAAATCAAAAAAATCATAATACAAAGTTACAATGACGCTTCAACCCATTTTAAAAAGCAAACGGGAACAAATCAATGCAACCTAAGTCTTGGCAAAAGGCAGTTAAAACCATGAACAGGATAAACATTTTTCCCAATCATATCAACAATAGTTACAAATCAGATCACTGGCAGACCAAACTGCTTGCTTTGACAAGACAAAATTTGAGTGAAATACAAACACCCACAAAAATCAATCCTCTATGATAGGAAAATCCACAGATAGAGGATAACAACATTATTTGAGGCCAAAATAATCGTCCAACCCATGTACAAGACAAACCAATCACGAACATAAACAGTCTGGCCAAATTGCCAGTATCTAAAAAAATAAATAAATACATAAAAAAGAAGGTTACAGGTTGATAACCAATAGGGGCTACTATAAACAACATACATGAATACCTTCAATGGAAAGGATCAAACGACTGCTTTAGCAACATAAATCAGAAATTGTAATCGAAAGTGATTAAGAGATGTGACACAACATAACCAGCAAAAGTTTTACAAGAAATTAGAGGACTAAAAAATGAGCAAAAGGTTATGAAAAAATTCCTATTCAACTAAAGTAGTATGAATATGAAGAGCAAACAAATAATTTCATCATTTAATTTTCAAAAAACTTAAAAAGGAACTATTTTGACTGGAGCAGTAATTCGCTGAGGTTTATCCATATGTTTTGTGTAATTATATGTAGATGCATAAGTTACATAAATTCTCTTCCAATTAAGAAAGCTTGATAAAACTCAAGATATAAAGGTATCAACAACTATGAAAAAAATCTAGCAAGTAAAATCAAAAGCAACAACAACTATCAACACACAATTGTGTAATATATGGAAATATATTATCTCAGTACTCATTAGACTATACTGGAACATAGAAAGCCCAAGTAGCAAATAGATCCCGGCATAAGTACAAAGACTAGTCTAACTCAGTCATTTCACAACCATCACTCAGAAATAAACCACATCGTAAATGTGCAGTTCAAGATATCAAGCGAAGTGCCCGTAAAAGCAAAGCTAATACATTCATATAGTCTGCACTACGCAATCACCAGAACCACAAAAAGCATCTGCGCCAACAAGCTGTCATACACCTGAATCAAACACCCATTCACAACTCAATTCATCATTCCACATTATCAACAAAACAAAGTTCATGCAAATTATATCAAATAACCATAACCAACAAATAAAGAAAACACTTAACCTTCTTTGATCGAACAATATGACAATGCACTGTGCAAACAAAGAGAACCACCAAACAAACAGCAACACCTTTTAGAGTACAAACATATCTCAAGGGCACTACAAAAATGATATCACAAAGCAAAGCAACTCCAACAACATGAATTTCACCAAGAAACTCTTCCAAACAAAAACCAAATTGGTTTCATTTTACAAAGAATGTACTTAAAATTTTGGGTTCAAGAAGATAAATAAGAATGTCAGATACCAGTTCCAAGTCATCGACTTTATAGCTTAAGGTCTTATAGCTAACAGAGTTAATAAAAGGATAAGCATATTAGTTTAACCTAGTTATGCATGACTAAAACTTTAGAACAATGTACAATTAAAGGTTTGGGAGCATGTTTGCAAGGTTAATTCTTAAGGACTCAACTTCAACACAATCAATCCCCAAACTCCTGATTGTATTTAAAATGTAAAATTGGCAGGGTTACAGCACAAAGAAAACATTATATGAATAGAATTGCTTAATGATGTGATTTGTGAAGAAACACAACTATCTTAGATAGAAAATAAACATGTTTGGTTACAAATGCGGAAGAGATCACATTCTTGTGCATATTTCAAGATTCTTTTTCTCCATATTGCCCAATAAATTTGTTTACAAGTACTCAACTTACAAGTTAACAAATCAAATGACACTTACAAATCCTTTAAGATATCAATGGTTAAAGATAATTCACTCAACAAGAAATGCAGTATGAAATATTGCTTCAAACAACTATAAATTCATGTAAAAACAGAGCACAATGATTAATCTACGTAACAAGTCCTTTTGAAACATACTGTTTGCAGAATTAAAAATAAAACATGTTAGACTGAAATCTTTCAGCAATAAAAAATAAGTTACAATGAGAATATATAATAAAGGTAAAGCACAGGCCTATAGGTATCTACTGCTACAATTTTGTGACTTCTACTCTTTTGCATTGCTTTGAGATGAAGAAAACTACTACAAAATTAAAAACATTCATATGCAATGTTCCAAATCCAAAACCCATAATTTCATACACCTATCAACTTGCAGATGCGGATTTGGCAATTATGGCCCATTTCAACGAACATGCAACAACGAAAATAAAACTAAATTGAGTAACCAACAATTTGATGTGTAACAACATATGAATGCAATATTTTCTTACCATTCCATCAAATTCAAAATACACACAGGCAAAGAACAAAGAGGGATGGTGAATAACGCATGAAAAAATAACATACAGCTCGGAAACAAATATAACAACAGATAGAAAACTTAATATCATCAAAACACATAATCAATGAACAAAAACAACTTGCTTATCAATATTTTGCCACACGGACAAAAGAGTGGTACCAATTAAATATATAGATAAAACAAATCACAAAGATAGCAAGAAAAAAATCACGACAGAAGCAAAGCCCAAAAAACAATTTAAAAGGCATAAAGTAATTGATCAAGAAACGAACCATCATAAAAGATAATGGAAGCAACAAAGAAGACCTCTAAAACTACAACCAAACACAAATGCAAGAAACACCAAACATTACAACAAAACGTACTAACAAAAATACCAAAAAGAAGGCAAAAAAAAAACACGAGCATGTCAATCAAACAAAAAAGAAATAATAAATAAAGACTACCTCAATAATAAGGAGGAACATTCGGGTACATAGGAACCCTAGGCACGGGGGATGTTCCGGTTGCCTGGTGATGCTGACTAGGATAAGCAGAGGATGCCGATGACAAGTTGTAATGCCCACCTTCAGGATACCCACCAGAAGGCATTCCAACCGAACTTGGTGGCAACCTATACAAGGAAGAACCACCCCCCAATCCACCACTGCCAGCAGCACCACCAAGACCTCCATAACCAGCCGAGCCTGGCCCACCATAACCGCCATACGGCCCACCCAACCCAGCACCATAACCACCAGCACCAACACCTCCCAAAGATGAGGGTACCTGTCCCGGTCCCCCCAAAGACGAGTTCACATGATGACCCAACGGTGGCGCCCCTGAAAACGGGCCATACGACCCATGTCCACCGGGCCCACCATACGACCCGGGCATGGATCCTCCAGCAGGGGGCGGAACCATCCCCATCCCATCGCCATGATTAACATTAACATTCCCGGGCCCGCCAGGCTGAATCCCATCAGGTCCCTTTGCCTTCTTATTATCAGCCAACCTACAATTCAATTGCTTCCCCTCAACCGTCTTTATCGGATCCACAAGCGCAGCTTGCGCCCCTTCCGCCGTCTTATAAACAAACAAAGCAAAACCCTTTGGTTTCCCCGTCTGTTTATCAAACCCTAACGGACCCTCTTCAATCTCTCCATAACAAGCAAAATGTGCGAGCAATTTGTCAGCCGACATGTCGTTTGGTACGTTCCCGACAAATATCTTCCTCAACGACACATCCACGGGATTGTTAGTACTATTCGCTGAATTTCCAGCAACTGCAAGATTCGTAACCGTCACGCGTCCGTCAATTTTCTTGCTGGGCTCCTTAAGAGCGAGCATGGCACCGTCAATGTGTTTGAACGTAATAAAACCATAGCCTTTTGATTTTCCGGTGGCTTTATCGAGGATAACCACAGCTTCCTCAAGCTCGCCGTAGACGGAGAAGATGTTACGGAGGCTTTCGGTTGTAGTATCCCAGCCGAGGCCACGGATGAAGAGCTTGCGTTGAGTGGGATCGGCATCTGCAATAGATCTGACGGCTTCGAGGAGGTCGGGGTGGCGAGTGACGGCGGTGGAAAGAATATCGAGGAGTTGATCATTGGTTAAGCGTTCAACAATCTTGCGAGAATCCTGGGGGTTTAGAATGTTGGCAGAGTCAGGGTCGGCCGATGCGGCGCCGTTTTCATCGAGTTTACGCTTCTTTGTCGGGTCCATGAATTGATTTAAGAGAGAAATTGATAGTAAAACCCTAACCCTAACCCTAGTTTTATGTTGAGTGAGTAAAGGCAAGTCGAAAGGAAGGAAGGAGAGAATGCGAAGTGGAAGAGGATAAAGATAAAGATATTTTTATATGTTAAGACTTGCCTTTTAGGGACGGGTCATGGGTTTAATGGCGATAAGAAGTTCCCATTTTAATAGGCCCAATTGTCTGATTGGCTAGCCTACCCAAATTGAAAGAAAGTGTTTTGACTAAGGCCCATATCTTATTTCCTTTACAAATAAAAAACAATGTTCAACGGAGTTGAGAGCCTCAAATTAGGTTTTTTGGTGTGTATCAGAGTTTTAGGAAAAAAATATATATATATATATTAAATCATATTAACTTAGAGAAAGAGAGTGAATAGTGAATTCGAAGCTTGAAATACATATCTATGTAGGATGATCCTTCGTTATGTAATTAACATACAATTAAAGAGGTTCTATCGAATCAATTGTCATATGAATCGGGTTCTTAACTTTCTATATGTATTATACAGGAAAAATTAATTTTTGAACAATGATTTTTCCTTTATTATGTTATATCACTTTAGATGTTAGAAAATTGGTGTTTCTATACCTTGAGTTAAGGGTGATCAATTTCGGATACCCCTGTATTCTTTGAAGGAACTGGAATTGGAATTGGCCGATCCAATTCTTAAAAACCTAGAACCAAAACCTGAAACATAAGTTCTGATTCTAGTCCCAGGTACCTGGGTTAATTTTAATTACCTTCTACTTTTAAAAAATTATAAATACACCCCTAATAATTTACAAAAATTACAATTCAATCTCAATTTCTAATCGGGTATCCGAACCTCTGTTTCGGTTCCAATTTTGATTCTGGTTCCTAGTTTCAGCATTACAGGAACCGAAATCGGACCCAGAAATTCCCAATTCCAATTTTCTAGAACCGAAACTAGATCCTATGAAGCCAATTCCAATCCTACTCGAAACCGATGGGTGGATACCTATCGATTCCGATTCTAGCATTTACTCATGCTCACACCTACCTTGAGCCTAAGAGCAATCAACAAGAGTGTTATTGAATTTGGTGGGATTAAATCGATTATAATATATTCTAATAGATATTAAAATTGTAGGTGATTTCTTTGGTGTTGAGATAGAAAACATTGAAATGCATGATGCATGCATTTGATGGATTCCTTTATTAAAAGCCACATTACACAAACAAATCTCAAAAACCGAAACACATACATATATATTACAACATCGATCAACAAGAAAAAGCACTTTAGAGATAATATGAAGTGCTTTTTCTTCTAAATACTTCACACTTCTAAATCCTTCTACCTTCATTATCAACTTTCTTTGGGACCCACGTCAACATTAGAACAGAAAACCAGGACACATCAGCTGGGAGAATGAAAGTGCTTTTGCTCCAACTTCCTCAGTGTCAAATTCCACATTTGAGCAACAAAAGAAATAAGCACCTCTCTTCTTCTTCTTCTTCTTCTTCTTCTTCTTCTTCTTTGTTTTCTTTCCAGAGCTTGAAGAATCAACAGCTGGTAGATCATCGATCATGGGTGCAGTGATAAGCGGATCGTTGATCTCAGCAGTTGGAATGGGGACATAGTCGTTGGTCTTTGTAATCTCAGTAGCACTAGCACCCATAGCTTAAATTGCAAGATAATGGGAGAATAGAAGAGGATACATTCATATATATATATAGGAAAGTCAACTGGTTTTGAGGATTAAAGAGTTTTTTTGGATTAAAACTGGGGATAGTGATTAATTACTTGGTGATTAAGAAGTAAATATGTGAATTAGTAGACAATTTTGTAGTTTAAAGTTTGTTTAATATTGCATTGTTTTCATTAATGAAAATGATGAACGTGGCAAACAAGTTAACAACTAAGGTGGAGAATGAGATTCGGAGATTGGGGAGAAATATATATATATAAGAATGAGGATGTCCGAAACCAGTTTACATACACCTCAACTAATCCCTTGAGACCTTAAAACTATTCGGCCGATAAAAACTCTAGTAGTCACCTCTATTAACAGTCATATAGGAACTTGAACTCGATAGACCATGTTAGATCCTCATCTTACTCTTTTACCCTCAAAGAGACTCGAATTTGAAAGACCTGTTAGATCCTCCTTTGAGAAACTATGTTAATCCCCCTCTTTCTCTTTTATCATTAAGAGGACTCGAATTGGGAAATCATATTAGATCCCTTTTGCTCTTTTATCATCAGACCACCTAATGGTGGTTTTTAGAAATAATTTCATCATCTCGTTTGGTTGACATGGTAAAATCGTCTAATGATAGTGATATATGTTATTATTATTTGTTAATTTTTTTTTATTCAGCCCCTGTTACCATAATTTATAAATAATTATTCGTTATCATTTATAGTAATTACTACTATAAGATGTAGTTTTAAAAATAAAAAAATATGTCACTGTTATATTGAATGGTCTTATCATGTCAGCCAAGTAAGGTGGGTGAGATTATTTCATATATTTTTTTCTCATTTCAACAAAGAGAAGTGTGTTGATAAAATTATCTTCCAAATTAATTAAAAAAAAAAAAAATCATTCTGTTTGGGTGCGAAAATATTAGACTTTCAATATATACTTGTATCGGGATATTTTTCATGTTTTTTTATATAAATTATGAGAAAAGTACTTAAAAGTTAAAAGACCATTTTGTCTTTGACAAATTAAAATATGATACTTTCTTAATGGGTTTAGTAGACAAGACATTTCATTTAGTTTTGCTCCTACGTCCTATCCCTCCACAACTTTCATGACTTCACTCTAGCAACTCTAGCGTTGAAGTGACTTGCGCTAGAGTTATTATCATTTTTTTTTTTTTAATTATTCTCCAATTTAGTATTAGAAATTAAATATCAAAATTTTTTTAAGCTAATAAATAAATTAACTAATTATATTTTATTAGCAAAATTAAGAAATAAAATATATTATTTTTAAACAAAAGTAATAAATGTATATAAGAGTTATTTTAATTTCTAAAATAAATAAAAAAATTACTCTAGTGGTAGAGTCAATTGGACTCTTGCACTAGAGTTGACCGATAGCATTAGACTAGAACCAATCCCCTTGTAGTCAGATGGTAGACCATTAGGTTCGGTTTGTCAATAGATTTAGAGATCCATTAGGTGACTTTACTAAATTATTTATTACATTTGTGATTTTACTAGGTTCATTAGGATTGTAAGGTATTGAATAGACCTTGAGGGTTAGGCGGGCTTGTTCAGCTTATAGTAGACCTTGAGGAAAGTGGGGGTCGGAAATCTCAATTATCAAAAAATCTTATCTACTAAGCCAATTGAAAAGATGTCAAATTTCAATTTTATCTTTTAAAAACAGTTTTTTAAATAATTATTTCTATTATTACCAAGTTATTTTTATATGAATGAGATATTTTCTGGAAAATTGTTTTTTAAAAATAGTCTAACACTCTAACCCTCTTTAGTCAATGCATTACTTAAATAGGAAATTTTTTATCCATCCGAAAATTGACAAGAAGTAACATAGCGAGGTTATTTATACTCAAGAAAGTGTTCTTTGGCGGCGCCTTTTTTTTTTTTTTTTTTTTTCAAATTTTAAAATTGGACTTTTACTTTATTTATTTAGATCATTACTTATTTAGCCCTTTGAAACTTTATATCACAAAAACCACCCCAATTGATTTTACATATATAATATACGGTAGAACTTTTCTATTATGATATTTTATATAAGAATAACCTTTATATAGTCATAAAAACTTACAATCCCAACTTAGGCCAGTTATAAATATGAATAAATTTTTTATTATAATAAGTTATAATTTTTCTAGGTCTCGTATTAAAGAACTTGCCTTTACATAGTAATAATTATATACATATTGCAAAAAACATATGTTATTTTACATTAAAGGTTTAAAAGAAAATAAAATATTTATCTAAAGTTATTTGGGACAATGATTTATGATTTAAAGCTGTTACTATATTTTTTATCTTGCGAGTACATAATAAGCCACCAGGGACACCTTTTTGTTAAAGTCAACTTGTTGCTCATTTGGATTATTTATGAAAATATTGGGTGCGTTTGGCTCTCTATTTCTACCCATATTCCCAACCCTATTCCCTAAATATTGTTTGACACATTATTCCAGAAATATTACTATATTTTTTTAATTACTTTTAGACCCACTAAGTTTATTACTTTCATTAAATACCCTGAGAAAAAAGTTTAAAAATTAACAAAAACACCCCCATCAACCCATACTTGCCAGATTCCGGCAACCACCATAGGTGGTAGCCGGAATCTGTACAACGACCTACACCACGACTAGAAATGGCCGGTAGTTCACTGCTTTGGCTGTCGTTGACCGAAAACGACGGCCAAAGATGGGCTTCTTTGGCCTTTTCCGGCCGTCGACGGCCACATTTGGCCGTAGATCTGGTCTTTTCCAGGTAGATCCGTGGTGGATCTGGCCGGAAAAGGCCATAGCGATGCATTACGACACAGATCCGATCGGTCTATGTCGTAACGCAATTTTCCAGCCAGATTTCGGCGGTGGTGGCCGGAATCTGACACTGCGGGTGGTGGGGGTATTTTTCTCATTTTATATGTTGGGGTGTTTAATTAAATTAGCAAACCTATGAGTTTTTTTATAAATTTTTAAATTTTACCTCGTAATACTCCCCTATTCAATTACTCAATAATATTATTCCCAAAATCCTATCCAAAATAATAAACCAAATGCACCCATTAATATCTATTTGATTTTTGTAAAGAAGTTATTGAATCTATCATTCAATTTTATAGTGACTCTTTAATATTCATTTTCGTATTATCCTAATGCTACTAAAACAATGAATTGAATCTTAATACGACTAAAATATGAATTATAAAATAAGAAATTAAAATAATAATTTTTGTAAATATACCTCTATTAAATTATAACCTCTTTATAATAATAAATTTAATTGGTCTCATTGTTGCTATAAAACAGTTTTACTCATGTCGTAATTTTTCTTTTAATTAAAAAATAAATAAATAAGCCGGCCATTCTTGTCGGAAAACGACGACGCTTTGAAGGCTATTCGGTGTGCTCAGCATCTGGCCACTGTCAGCTTTCCTGCTCTCAAACGTGTCCGAGTATTACTCAATAAATAATAAACCCGGTAAACATAAGCGGGTAGAAAAGCCTGTATGTTTGGTAACAAAGAAAACAAGCTTTAACGCTCTATCTGATTCTTGCCCTATCAAATGCCACTCTCTTTGTACTTCTTGTAAGTTCTTCTTTCTGCAACTGCTACTCCTTATTTACATTTCTCTTTCTTCTACTTGAGTTTTAGTAACCTAGCTTCAACTATAATTTGCATATAATGTATCGAGATTATGATTTTCAGTTTAAATCTTATGTAATTGCGTAGTTTAGCAATCTTTATAGACAAATGAACTTGTATATTGAATTCATAGGAGCTACATTTGAATGAATTATGGAAGCTGTAACAAGAAATTTCACTCTTCTTTTTTTTTGTTTTCTAATAATTCTTCAGGAGATTGTCTGGTCTGCAGCCAAATCATGTTCTGAACCCAATTTTATTCCCACCTTCTACTATGGTGGAATTCAATCATTTGCCAAGTACATTTGAAGCAAATTATCGTGAAACCCCGGCGAAGAAAATATCGTGCTCATTTTCTTATTTTAATTCCTTCAGACTTCAACCGGTTGGAGCATTTCGTCTCAATGTTGATGTAGGGGAGATACCTGGTTTTTGCAAATGTCACAAGTCAAAAATTGGAATTGATTCGATAGAGATACAAACTTTTGATGAGGGCCCGTTAGATGCATTTTATGACTCTATTGATAGTGTATATAACGAAGATTATAAGGAAAAGGAAAGAAGAAGAAAGATAGGTTTGGCCAACAAAGGGAATGTACCATGGAACAAAGGCAGAAAACATACTGTTGGTAAGGGCTAATATTAATGGAGAGGTGCACATTAAGCCTTGTTATAGTAAGTTAATTCTGTAATATAATCTTTCTTATTGCACAGAGACTCGTGAGCGAATCAGGCAGAGAACAATTGAAGCTTTGAGAGACCCCAAGGTGAAGTCATGTAAGATTCAGCAGTTCTGCAATTCCTTTATATGTTTTTAATAATGGTGATGTAGTAAGTAAGACTTCATACCATTTGGTAGATTCATAGAGTTTACAAATTTTTTCAACTTCCTTGCTGTTGGTGATCATCAGATTTTTATAAGTCCTGGCAGCCTCTTTTAACTTGTGAAGTGGCTGACAAACAATAGCAAACCCTTTTGGTATTTATTCTTGGCTACACAGTCCTTGTTTTTGTCTTTGTCCAATGGCAGATCCTGAACTCTTGAGGAATGGAGGCAATCATGAATTATTTAATAATAATAACTACAAGTGATTGGACATGTACCAGAAATTTATTTACACAGGAAACTTGATATATTGATAAGAATTTACCCTTACCACAAAACCTTCAGATATTCAGCTTTTATTAGCCATTACCTAGTGTATCTGCCCTTTTTTTTTTACTTCTTTTTATAACACAGATTTTACTATTTTCTCTAATATGTTTCTGTCTCAAATTCCTGATTTATTTTACTTTAACAACTTTCAGGTCAGGAGAAAGATGGCTGAACATCCCCATTCTCATAGGTAAAACTGTTTCTGCTATAATTCTTTTATCTGTCTCTTCGCAAATGTGAATGTTTTGTGTCAGAAGTTCAGAGTTACACTGTATGCAGGCAGTTTGTTAAGTACTTAACCTTAAGTTGGGATAGGCTTTGCTCATGCATGACCTGAATTCATGAATAAATAAATCATCAAATTTTGTAAACCAAACATTAGTTATAAATTTAAGGGTTTAGTATGTTTTTGTGTTTTATATATGTTAAAACTTGCCTCTGGTTAAGCTGGATTTTCTGTTTGTGTTATTTTATGATAGAAATTGGGAACTTCACAGAGGTATGTCTGCAAGCTATTTTAAGGGAATGAATAATGAAATATCAGTGGTTGCTAAGTTCATATGCTGAGCATGTTGGTCAAGATGGAAAACCTAGAGCTGGCAAATTTAAATTCTGGGGAATACTTCTCCCTATTACATGGAACTATAAACATCTTCCTTGTTGTGCATTGTAGGAATATTTTTGCATGTTATCATGGAACTTCAAACATCTTCCTGACTGTGAAATGCTTGTTTTACGCATTCCACAGAAACTGTTGTTAACCCATGTTAGCATGCACGTTAAGCTCACATTTTCACCTTCTAATAAGACTCATTGGTTTATGAGGTTCTTTATTTATTTATTTATTTTTTTTTGGTTTTTGTTTTGTTTTTTGTTTTTTCTAACCTTTAGCATGTATAATTGATTCGCTAAAAGAACACCAATGTGCAACACGATTTTCTTAGCTTCAAAGATTTAGAATTCAAAATCAATTCTCTTGCAGTGATGAGAGCAAAGCAAGAATAGGGTCTGCATTAAGACATTCTTGGGCAAAGCGTTTAAGATGGAAAAGATTGGGGGAAGAGTTCATTCTGTCATGGTCAGAAAACATAGCTAAAGCAGCTAAGGATGGATGGAGTGACCAACAAGAACTAGATTGGAATAGCTATGATAAGATAAAACAAGAAATGGCTGTCCAACAGCTCCAGCGGGCTGCAGATAAGGCTAAGGCGAAGGAGATGGCTAAGATAAATGCAGTTAAAGCAGCTGTGGCAAGAGCAGAGAAAGCTGCTCTGGCAAAAGCAGAGAAGATGGCAAGGATTGCCAAAAAGAGAAAAGAGCGTGAGGAGAAGGCAAAACGAAGAAGGGAAATAAAGAGTAAGGCAAGAAGAAAATCAGAAAAAAGTGGAGAGTTATCAGTTCCCCAAGAGTTGAAACTTAAGCAGAGATTAACAAAGGTAAAATCCCATGAGATAACATGAATTCAAATCCTATACCTTGCAGGAATTTTTTCAATCATCAATGCCAAGTTCTATGTATAACATATCTATGGTGAAAGTGGCTGGATAAGTTGTATAATGCTATATTCTGTTTTGTTGTTAGATTCACAAAAAGAAATCCATAACTGGTCTGGTTGCTACACAAGGAGACATGGTGCGTATGCATATCCAAGCTTTGGAGAAGTTGGATATAAACCTAATAAAGAAAGAAAAACAGCAGAGAGAAGTTTCACTTGCAGACCAGATCCAAGCTGCCAAAAACAAAAGAGCCCAGTCCATGGCCAAGGATGTTCTGGCAGGCTTATCCACTATTCACGGTTCAGTGTGAGATCTGAAAACTGAACTTAGTAAATGTTTGCATCAAAGTAAACGACCTTGGAGGGGAAATATTAGTTGGTGAAAATTCTTTTCTAACTTCTGTCAGTTCCTGCTTATAGTTATTGCTTGTGCAGCAGCACTCCTTTTCTCATGGTTGAAAAGTGATAGCAGTAGATCTACTCTAGGTAGTTTTGTAGTGCAATCTTCCTATGTAATCTAGAACAAGCAAAAATATTTAACAGCTTATCATTAACATCAATAATATCTTGTATTTATTTTAATAAGCTTGCATACAGCATTACAAGAAGCTCGGTAGAATTTGGTGTATGATCACCAAGACTGATACAGCACAACCCTTATTTAGAACATTATAAAACAACATTGATTATGGAGATGGCAACACCATAAACTAGTTTCTGTAGGCCGTAGCTTTATTTCTCACCCCGTAGCTTCCATCTTAGTTAATGCTGTGGAAAAAAGAAAACCAATGTTAAGCTGGGTTATCAGGTTTCTAAGTTTTGTATGTAAATATTCAAATAGTAAAACTCACTTTGCACAGTTTGTGTACTTAGAGATGGGAATGTTCAATGGAACCCCACATTTTCCAGGAAGAGATGAAGCTGCATCTTGTTTGATCTCTGGATGCTTAGCAGCAGCTGACTTCACACACTCACAAGCTTCTTGTCTATCTGTAGTTGTTGGAGTGATTGCCTTGATATTCCTCACTCCATCACAGCATGCAGTTGAAAGATCTCCCTTGGCTTCCAAGTAAGGCATGCAAGGCGCCAAAGATGCTGCAACTTGGCCACATTGGACGGCTTCTCCAGGCTTCACCATGAAGTACACCATGGCTACAGCCAACACTAACATCACAATACTCTTCATCTTTACTAGAGGACTCTTTGAGCTTGTGTTTTAATGAGCTTCTGTTCTGCCTTGGTTATGAACAATAGCAGAGGATAAAGGGGTATATATATAGCATGTTGGGGATCAAAAGAGGTGGAATCTGGATGTCAGGGGAAAACGGAAACAGTTACAGCGTTTTGGCGGCTTCTCTGCTTGGCTTGGCTACCCTCAAAATAGTAAATAAATAGGATAAGGTTTTGGGTGACATTTCCTTCTTCACTTTATGTTGGTTCCTGCTGAGCTTCTGCGAATTCGTAAGCTTTTTACATCTTTTTCTGTTCTCATTGAAGAGAAACGTGTCTTTCTGCCGGCTGAAACCAACTTGGGCATGCAGTTATGTTTACTGCTACTTGAAATGATCTTGAGACTGATATTCAAGAATCATCAAAGTGAAACTTGATATAATTAAGAGACCCTCTAAAGCTTCCTTTGATTGCTGAAATAATGGATCATTTGGAGCAAATTAAAAACATCCAAGTGATTCATCTACATCTACTTAATAGATGCTGGATAGTTCATTGGCATTTTCCAGCCAAAAGATCACTCGAGGATAAATATTAAATAGAAGCATTTTTTTCATCTACTTAGAAGGAAACAGCTCACTTCCATTTATGTAGTTTCTTTTTAACAGATAATGATTCTCAAGTAGGTTTAAACATTTCACACTGGACTTAATTGAATAGATTTGGTGGGTGTATTGATCTCTTTAATGGATTTTTGGATTTTATATATTAAAATCCTCTTTATTGTAAAATGAAGTATAGTAATTTAATCATGTATAAATTCTATTAATTGTTCTTCATTAACTTGGATATTAAGTTTAAGTGAAGTTAATTAGAAAACGATCATATCGATTGATTTATTAAATTAAGCATTGAGTTTTATTAAAATTAAGTAAAAAAAAAAAACTCGTTTAATGACAATTTAAGTTTTTCTTTTTTTTTTTTTTTTTTTTTTTTTTTTTTTTTTTTTTTTTTTGTAATGGGCTACCCTTTGGTACAATCGAGCTAAGACTAGGGAAACATTAGCAATTTAAGTTTCAATATGTTGAGTTTTTGTCTTTGTTCGAGAAAGTCTACCAGACCTCATCTCTTGTGGTCAGATGCAGTGGCGGACCCAAGATTTTTGTTGAAGGGGGGCCTCCGCGGCTCCGGCGTTGTTTGTTAACTAACTATTGAAAACTTAAAAAAAACCATCCAACCTTAAGCAAAGAAAATAATATAATATCAAGAAGCTGAAAGAAAATGATGCAAAACACATTACTTTCCTATTTAAATAAATCTACGAAAAGCAAAACCTTGAAAGCAAATATGTAAAATCACATCCAACTCACAAGAAAATTTTGATGTGGAAAAACCTCTTAAATGCGAAGAGAGCAAAAAATTACAAGAATCTAACAATCTACTTAAATCCAATATAAGCAAAAGAGTTCACAGCAATCACAATCTACCAAAAATATTCTATATAAATAAAGTCCAATCACAAATCTAATACAAGTAAAATACATAAATGTTTATAAGAAATAAATTAAAATCACCGGAGAAGCAGTCAACTTTAAGCTTATAACTCCAAATCCAACTATTAAAATCAAAACTCAACCATCGAAAATAAAAATTTAGCAAAACTTTGCTCATTTATCATCAGCCAAACATCTGCCAAAAATATACTTAAATAAAAAAATTAGAATTTAGAGCAATATTACTAAACGAAAAAGAGGTAAAAAAAACATAAAGTTTGCTCATTTTCTCATCAATCTAACGATTAAACACACTTAATAAATTAAAATAAACAAACCATAGTATTCAGAGCAAAATACAAAACAAAAAAAAAAAAAATTGTCAAAAAAATGAACAAAACTTAGCATCATTTTCTCATCAACCTAACAACTAAAAATAGCTTAATAAAATAAAATAAAAACTATAGAATTTAGAGAAAATACGAAAGATAAAGACAGTAAAAAAAAATAATAATAATGAACAAAACTTTGCCTCATTTTTTCATCAAGGAAACACAGTTAACAAAAAAAAAAACTAAGAATTCAGAGCACAAAAAAAAAAAAATAAAATAAAAATAAATAAACACATTAAAAGAAAAAAATGGAAAAATCAACCTCATTTTCTCGGTAACCAAACATGCAAAAAACAATTGAAAAGAGCGAATACCTTAGAATTTAGAGGTTGAAGTTGAAGAGAAGAGCGAGGGTGAGTGTGTTCAAAGGTTAGGTCTTGTATAGTTGCACAAAATTGATAATTATTGGTTTGAAAGAATGATTATTCTTTCAATTATCTGTATAAGGTTTGCTTTTTTTTTTTAATTTCAGAAAATTGGTAAAGGTCATTTGTAGAAGTGGGTTTTGTAATATTATAAAATTTACTCTTGATGAATTTTAGGGAACTTTATGACAATCTATAAACTTCAGGAGAATTTTTGTCCACGTTGAAAGTTTTTACTAAATTTCAAAGGACATCATTGCTAGGAATGAGTACTTAAATTGTTTCTGCAAAAGCTTCTGAGTTAAGAGGAAGAGATGGTGTATTGCAGAGGCATTTTTGCATCATTAAAGTTGCGGTGGTTTTTGTTGCATAAAATATGTTAGTGAAAAATGAAAATGCCCTCTGTTCTTGGATTCTTCACACTCATTATTTGGTTATCCCATAAAATCAAAAGCAAAAATTTTTAAATTTTTATTTACTCATTTGAGGGTAGGCCCAGGCCTATTCTCAAATGGCCTGGGTCCGCCCCTGGTCAGATGGCAAGTCTTTTAGCTATTGGGGTTAGTTATACTCAAGAGTTTTGTGTTTAAGTCTCGAGTGAAGCAATTACTAAGTTTATCCAGAAAAAACAAAAAAAGTCTATTAGGTTTTGTGTTAAAGTGAAAGAATCCTAGTGCATGAATATTGATTATGAGTAAATGTTTTGAAAGACATCGTTTTGTAAAAATATTTTCCTTTGTTCTTTTTGTTTATGGAAAAACTTTAAATTATTTATTGAGTTAATGCTCATTCGAGCTTATTGTGATTCACATCTTACCAATGAATAATTATATAGAGGGTTTACCGAGTGTGCTATTGACTCTCCACGTTTTATCTTATTAGTAGGGGTGGTCGGTTCCGGGTACCCTATATTTTTTGAAAGAACCGGAACTGGAACTGACGATTCCTTGAAATTTGGAACCAGAACCGAAACTGATGGTTCTGGTTCCTAAGTACCCAGAACCAGAACCTGTAACAACGGTTCCGGTTCCGGTTCTAGATACCCTGTAAAATTACAATGACCTTCCAAAATTTTTAAAATGGCAAAAAACCCTTAAAAACTTACAAATACCCCCCCATCTGGCACTTGTTAACAAAAATAAAATTATAAATTGTAAATTCAAAATTACAAACTTCATTACTTTGTAAAGGTAGATTCTCAAAAGTCAAACCAACTTACTTTAAATGTTATGAAATATAAATATAAATCTATTCACATTATTTTTTCTACAAAAGCTTTTATTAACCCCCCTAATCTTTAATTTTATTTTATATTAGTCTCGGTTCCTGGTTCCGGTTCCTAACTATAGGAACCGAAACCGCACAGTAACGGTTCCAAAAATTTGGAACCGGAACCTACCCATTGATGATTGGTTCTAGGTAGGAACCGAAACCAAACTCAAGGTACCCGCCAGTTCCGGTTCCAATCGGTTCTTTTGAACACCCCTACTTATTAGACCCCAATTACTATTTTTTTTTTAATTACAATTTTATTCATTATTAAAATTACTACCTATCTAAAGTAAATTTTCTGATATTAATTCGAATTATTTATTTTATTTTCTACATCGTAAATCTAAAATAATATACATGAATTGATAAAATATATGTGTTAAATTCTTTAGGTTTATTTTATTCTTTTTTTATTGTTTTTAAATTTCAATTGATTTACATTTTCCGAGAATTTTTACGTTTGTTATTATTATTATTTTTTAAGAAAATATAAACAATTAACTTGATTGATATGTTAAATGAAGATAAAAGATATAGACTATATATAAATAAGTATTTAGAAAATATAACATGAATAGTGAAAATATAAATGTAAGAGTTATTTTGTAAATAGACTAGGTTCATTTACAAATTTAGATATGTTATATAAATTTTAGAAGAGTTAATTTAGAAGTTGGGTTTATTAAAAAAAAAAAAAAATGATTGCGGCAAATAACATCGCTCTTAGCATTAACAAAGTGTAATTAATGGACGATCAATAGTGATTTATTTCAATTGTTATGGTTACATTATTAAGTAAAAATCACTCCTTTGAAATCTTTAAACTTTTGGGTGTGTGTCAAATGTCACCGGTCGGAAGTTCCACACCCAAAAAAGGCTAATCTTATCGCATATGGATGTTTGACAGGACACCGAAAGATAGTTAAGGTCTGTTATGATATCATTGTCATGGGTTAGGAGTTTCACACCCTAAAGAGTAAAGACTAATCCATTAACTGAAGGGACTCTTCCTTTATAAGCCCAAAATCTCTCTAATGTATTTCGGATGTAGGATCCGTGACACAAAACACATAATAAAAAAGCATACGAAACTAAAGAGAAAATATTATTTAAATATATTAATTTATATAATAGACGCTGGATCACTGTTTTTTTTTTTTTCCCCCCCAACTGTATAAATAGAGGAAATTTATTTTCATTTTGTTACGTATTGCTACTATTTCAAGGAAGAATGTTTAACCCTTCAACATATCATCAATATATAATGAACTTGATGTATTTATAGCAGTAAACTTGCAGCTCTACACCATTACATGATAATCTCAATACAATTTCTGATCATCAGGACCGATTAAAACACTGCAACTTTATTTAAATCATGGAGATATATATATGGCAACACCTTATAAATCTCAATTGGCCTTAGCTTTATTTCTCTTCCTGCTCATTCCCATCTTAGTTAATTCTGCAGAATTAACCAAAAATGAAAACCAAATTATTAAGTAAAATAATGTGTAACTGAAACTGAAAATTCGGTTTTGTAAGTAAATACGCAAATGGAAAATTAAACTCACTTGGCGCAGTTGGTGTACGGAGAGATGGGAATATTCAATGGAACCCCACACTTTCCAGGAACAGATGAGGCTGCATCTTGATTGATATTTGGATGTTTAGCAGCAGCTGACTTCACGCACTCACAAGCTGCTTGTCTATCTGCAGTGGTTGGAGTGATTGCCTTTATATTTCTTACCCCATCACAGCATGCAGTTGAAGGATTTTGCCCAGCAGCCTCCAAGTAAGGCATGCAAGAGGCTAAAGACGCCGCGACTTGGCCGCATTGGACGGCTTCTCCAGGCTTCACCATGAAGTATACCATGGCTACTGCCAGCACAAACATCACAATGCTCTTCATTTTTACTAAAGGACTCTTTGAGATTGGAATTCAGTGAGCTTCTGATGACTTGGTGATGAATTATATGTGAAGGCTCATACGGGGTATGTATAGCACATATTGGCGACGAAAAGAGTTGGAGTATGGATGTCATTGGAAAACAGAAACAGTTACAAGTTTTTGGCTTCTAATCTTCCCTAAAATGTCATCAAAATAGTAAGATGATAAGCTTTTCGAATTCATGATGGATGGATGATGTGCATTTCTTCTCTTTCGGTTGAAAGAGCTTCTCTTTTTGCAGGATGAAACCAAACTGGGAGGTTACCAATGTTTCCTGCAACTTATCAAAGAGTATAGTAGGAATGATTTAGAGAATAGTAAGACTTGATGAAGACTGTAGAAAATTACAGAAATTACAAAGGTAACTGATCCTGTAACAAGCAAATCCAAAAAAAATCATGGGGACTTTGACTTGAATTTTATTGCATTTGATGATAGACTCTTTTCACTTACTAAATTTTAAAGGTCAAACTAGATTCATCAAAAATTTCTTCCATTAATTTCTCAAGACATTTTGACATTGAAGGGGTGATATAATTTTCCAATCTCCCACCAACCCTTTTCTGAAGTAACCATCTTTTCTGTATCAAGCAGAGCTTTTTCCGATTTTGTTCACCTTCAAATTTCTCAGGTTGTCAAAAGACTCAAAACTACATAATTTTGACATTTCTTCTACTATTCCTTGACTATTTTCTTCCTTGGATAAAGAACTTAGTAAAAAGTCAGCCATAAGCAGCTCCGCGGTGAATTGGCCCAAGAAATACTATAAGGAGATGAATTGGTCCAGAGGGTTCTTAAAAAAGTAAACAACACAACTAGAATTCACAGTGGAAGGTGGTAGTAGTGAAGCACGTGGAGTATGCTTTGCGAAAATCCTTGGCGTAGTTAGTTTTTCCAGATTAGGAGATTGATTTTTGTTATAGAGTTCAAACTAAAGGACATTCATCTGTTCATTGATTAGCATCAAAAGATTCATGGACATTCATCAATTTCAATGCTGGATCAATCTGTTCATTAATTACCATCTTCCAAATTCTGCATTACTATATAAATAAATAAATAAAAGTCTATGAAGTAGAAGGGTTTTATTCATTCATTTAATTAGTTAGAAAATAAAGTAGTGCTCCATCGTTCTTTGTGATCCTTCACTGGCTTGGTAAGAGCCATAAGATATGGCTCTGCAATTTTAAATGGGATGATCACAGATAACAACTGATTGTGCTTTATGAAATTTCTTTTTGTAGATGGAAATTTATGGATATTGTAACATATGTTATGAATCTTCCAGTGCCATATTCTCACTTTTGTGCTCTGCCGCCCTTCTATTTACTATGCCTTGCCTTTAGAATGATTGGTGCATATATTTATAATATTTTCTTCAATTGTGGTTAATTCACTTACCAGTTATGGCGATTATATTGACTTTTGTAATTGCTTAAAAAAATTTCCCCATTAAAATAGTATCTCATATGTGGATATATGAAACAAATTCAGCTTATATAAGTTCTTGTTGATATATATTTATTTGCAGTATATTGAATGATTCTATATAATTGTTGGAGTTTTTGACCACTTCAGTATTAATGGGTGACACAGACGCATTTGAGGGTCTCAGTATAAATATTAACTATGTTAAACGTAGCCTGTTAATTGGATGAATCAGGATAAATCATATTTATTTTTTCTTTCTTTTTACTGTTTGTGGTTTGTGTGTGTTTACTAGTTTTGGTTTCCTATTAATCTCCATTCGTTTAATAATCTCACCTATACTCGCATAAAAAGAAAAATTTTGTCAACTTGTTATGTATTGCCTTCCTTTGGGTTGTTTCTGATCAACAAGAATAACCAAGAATGTTTAATTTATTGCATAAACCATTACAGGAGAATCTCAAGAATTTTGCATAACACGGCATCAAACAGCAAGATTATGGAAATGGCAACTCCCATAACGATCTTTATTTCTCATCCTGCAGGTCTCTTCCATCTTAGTTGATGCTGAGAAAGTAACCGAAAACAAAGTTAAGCTTAGCTGGAACTGGATTATCAATTTCTTAAAGTAAATGAATATGCGTATTCTGAAAATTAAACTCACTTTGCACAGTTGGTGTTCTTGGAGATGGGAATGTTCAATGGAACCCCTCATTTTCCAGGGAGAGATGAAGCTACATCTTGATTGATATCTGGATGTTTAGCAGCAGCCGACTTCACACATTCACAAGCTTCTTGTCTATCTGCAGTTGTTGGAGTGATTGCCTTTATATTTCTCACCCCATCACAGCATGCAGTTGAAGGATTTTGCCCAGCAGCCTCCAAGTAAGGCTTGCAAGGGGCTAAAGACGCTGCGACTTGGCCACATTGAACGGCTTCTCCAGGCCTCACCATGAAGTAAACCATGGCTACAGCCAACACCAACATCACAATACTCTTCATCTTTACTAAAGGACTCTTTTAGCTTCTTCTCCAAGGAGTTTCTGCCTTGTTGATGAACAATAGCAGAGGGGTGAAGGGGTGTATTTGTTGCACATATTAGCGATGAAAAGAGTTGGAATTGTGAGGGATATGGCATAACAAAAACAGTTAAAAGGCTTTTGGATTCTACTCTGCCTTGAAACATCCTTAAAAGTAGTAAAGAGGATAAGCTTTTGGATCATATATTTCTTGTCCATTACTGTTCTGTTTCTGTTTAGTTCCTACACAAACTTTGATGACGCATACATGTTGCTCATTTCTATTCTTTCAATTGAAATGATGCATCTCTTTCTGCCAAATTTATAACCAACATTTTTCTTAGAGGCCAATTATGTTTATTGGCAGAAAAGAACACGACTAAATTAAGTAGATCACCATACGAAGAATGATAAAATTTTGGTAGAGTTGTAGCTGCAGTTCAACTCACCCTTAAAACTGACTTAGAAGGGGTGGCTGTCCACGTGGTTTGGTAACCCACACATCTAACTCATTATTTAGCGATGCGAGACTCAATTAAGATCGTTATAATCGTTATAATTATCATGCTTTCGTGACCGTTCGTAGTTGATAGGACTTTTATACCTAAATCAGGCCAAGCTGTCTAATGTCACGTACGGCCCAAATTAAAGGTCTATTGGACCTTCCTTGATGAGAGATTTAGATCCGAAGAGTATCCAAAAAATATGTCAAGAAGCTTTCAAGATACTCTAAAATATTCTTCACCAAAGAGGCAGCAAAATAAGATTAGGATTCTTTATTATGATATGATTAATCTTGGATATCTAATTTATTAGATTTGTATAGATCTGGACGGTCATGTTTATTTTTAAAGGCCAACAAGAAACTCCCTACATTATACCTAGGTCTAACACCACTTGTAACAACCCAAACTCACTCGAGGATGCCCATCTGGGTATTAACCCACATGCCAAGGCCATCAAACTTGATATCAGAAGCCCTATTGAAGAATGGATCATTAAAAGTAGTCAACATCAAATGTACTATACTACTATTAACAAGTTGCATAATATTCATGAATAGTCATAAATCATCTACAATGCTTGATCAAGCTTTTCATTAGCATCTTCCAAGTTTTACTCTATTAACAGAGTGAAGGGAAAGAAGGCTTTCATTCATCTATTGGATTAGAAAATGAAGAAGTGCTCGTTCTTTATACCTCTTCACTTACTTGGTAAGTGCCAAAGGAGATGGCTCTGCAAATTTCATTGGATTACACACACACACACANGCCTGTGATAATGATCTGTATTCAGATTCTGTAGATGGTTTTGCAACTACTTTCTACTTCCTTGAACTCCCTTGAATTAAATTCTGACCAAGGTAAATGCAGTAGCCTAAAGTAGATTTTCGATCATTTGTGCTACTAGCCCAATTAGCATCACAATATCTCTCTAGAATGAGATTTCCAAAAGGTTTAAAGCTCAATCCATGATGAAGAGTACCCTTGAGGTATCAAAAGAGCCTTTTACATGCTTGTCAGTGTATTATAGTTGGACTTTTAAGAAATTGACTTAGCTTATTCATTGCAAAAGCTAAGTTAGGTCTTGATAAAGTCAAATACTACATGGCTCCTATTGTACTCCTGTATAGAGTGGGATTGTAAAACAGCTCACCATCTTGTAAAGACAATTTAGAATTTGCACACATAGGAGTAGGATTGCTCTTAGCATTGAGCATATTTGCAATAAGTCAATAGCATACTTATACTGAGTTAAAAATAATGCTTCTGGAGTTTTGAAAACCTAAAATCCAAAAAAGTGATCGAGAAATCCAAGTGTCTTCAGAGAGGATAGTAGAAAAGGTAAAAAGTAAATCAACATAAAGTTGTATGCCAGGTGGTGAATTTTTTTGTGAAATAGGAGAAGGAATAGAAGAATGTTTAGGAGAAGAAATAGTTGTTGTTGTAGAGGTAAGAGTAATAAGTACTCTTGGAATTGTAATATCAAACCAGTGAAGAGATTTTAGAGACAATAGTGAAGCCACAATAATTGCTTATAGTGTAGGATTCTTCATTATATAGAAAACTGTTACAAGTATTAAAAGCTAACAATAACAGTACAAGCTATACAAGGAAAGATATCTACATATTCTATATTTACAACTAATCAACTCCTATATATTTGTACAACGTCTGTATTGCCGTGTATTGCTCCTTAATGCTTGGATTGATTCTCTGTTTGATTGCTGCCTTGATTGTCTCCAGATTGATTGCTGCCTTGATTGTCTCGAGATTGATTGCTGCCTTGATTGTCTTCAAGGAATAATGCTCTATTATCGCCAACACCCCCCTTCAAGTCAAGTGTGGTTGGCAACACTTGAAGCTTGGATCGGAATAGCAAAAACAGAGGTTTTGTTGGACTTTTGGTGAATATGTCTGCTATTTGCAAGGTTGATGGAACATGTTTAATCTTCAATATACCACTGCAGACTAATTCCTAACAAAGTGAATATCAATATCAATATGCCTGGACCTTCGTTGAGCTACTGGATTTCGAGTCATGAAAATGGCACTTGTGTTGTCACAAAGTAACATTGGCGTTCTGTTGGTTGAATTTTTAAATCATGAAGAATGTTTAACAACCATTTAACTTCAGTTGCAGCAAGTGCCAATGCTCTATATTCGGATTCTGCCTAAGACCGAGATACTGTGGACTGCTTTTTGGAAGTCCATGAGATTAAATTGTCACTTAGAAAAATTGCATATCCTGATGTTGATCGACTTGTGTTTGGGCAACCAGCCCAATCAGCATCTGAAAAAGCTGAGATTTTGAGATTGTTTGATGGACTGATGTTGAGTCCGAAATGGAGAGTTCCTTTAACATATCTGAGAATTCTTTTTACGGCTTGAAAATGTTGCTCTCTTGGTGCATGCATGAATTGACTTACTAAATTTACTACATGTGTAATATCCGGCCTGGTAATGGTGAGATATTGCAGTGTATGTAAAACCCCTCCCTAGCCGGGTATTTCTTCAGTATCCTTTGGCCATTGAGAACCTAGAAAACGCACGCCTAAGAAAGAAGTTTATTTTAAAATCCTATTTAAAGAATAAACTTGTAGTTTAAAAAAACATATATATATATATATGATATATATATAATATATATATATAATATATATATATATATATTTATTTATTTTATTATTAATTTAATTTCTAAACTAAAATAAGTTCATTGTATAAATATAGTTTCCTTTCTTGGAGTAAATTATGAATCCATAGTATACTTACTGAACACTGCACCTTTTACAAAATTTACTAGCAATTTGATTTCCTTTATAATACAACATATTTACTCCATTATAGAATATGGACATATTTACTACATATGAAATAGGAACATATATACAACTAAATATTAGAAAACCATTCGATAGTCATCATTAAAACATCCCTTCATGCTCATAGCGTCCCTCGGAATCCTCTCCCAGCTTCATGCCTTAATCCTTACCTACAAACATTTTAAAATATTTCGTGGGGTGAGCGCTAATCGCTCAGTAAGGAATATGTCCATTTATAAACTATTAAGGTTCATTATACAAGTATATTACTAGGACGTTACCTACCTACAAAACATGACCTTCATTCTTTGACATAGCAAGTCATAAAACATATCATACATTTGGACTTTTCTCAAAACATAAGTCATAACTAACCATACATACTATAACGTAGAACATAATGACTTATGAAATATTCATGTACATGGCATGCTTATTCTTTGTCTTTATACTTGATGGTTTCATTAGTCTTTGTATCCGATCGGATTCATTGAACCATTACCTTGTTCTTGGTCGTCACCTCAAAGGACTCATGGTTTCAAAGAATTCCATTCCTCTGATCTTGGTTTATATCTCAGAGAATCATGGAATTCATTCTTAACATTTCATAAATTTTTCATAAGACAACTAAATAAGCTATATGCATTACCATTATGAATGCAAACATATGGACTAACATCTCCCATGCTCAATCATACTACATTCTCCTACTAAACTTCTTAACTCAATTCATTCAACTTCTCATACAATACAGGAAATTTCAGTAGTAAGATTTTAGGGGTTTATTAGAATTAAAACAATGGAATTTCCATTAAGAAGGTGGATGCCATATAGTTCGTCACTTTTCAAGCAATTTTTTCCTTATCTTCTAATTTTAATTTATTTTTTGCTAAAACATAAAGTTTTAGTCTGTTCCTCAAATTTTTAACACTTCAAGAATCAATTCAATCGGATTTCTATAACTTCAGTTATGACTGATTAGTGAAGCATGTATAGTAATAAGTCTCAAAAAGCCAAATCCGAATTCTATTCATTTTAACCATGTCACCTTCATTTGCACATTCATATCATTTGCCATATCATTCTTAGTATAAAAGGCCATAAAAACCTCCCTTTTTACAGAACCAAAAAGTTCCAAAACATCGTCCAACTACAAATCTCTTAATTGGCATAATCATCCTCCACATGCACACATACACCAATCAACACACCCATTTAAACAATCCATAACCAAAACATAGCATCACACTCATATTAACATAAATAAATGTAAGTTTCATAAACCCTAGGTGTTATCAATTGTAGTCATAAGGGAGATTTTTTTCCTTACCTTAGTATACAAAGCACAAGGACACTCCTCCTTAGCTCCAAATGTTCACCCTTTCTACCTTACACATATAACCACTTATGAATTTCTCTTTTAACTAAAAGATCAGAAAAACTAGGGTTTTGAAACTCACCTTAAACCTTGAAATTGTAGTTCTTTAAGTGTGGATGGTGATCTCCTTTGAAAAACAACTTGAAACCCTAAGAAAATTTGAGAATAAAATACTTGAATTAGTGGCTTTTATGGTGGATTTGAGAGATGAAGAAGAAGATGATATATTTGGGGTGTACAAGGCCGACTACTCTCTCTTAAAACCTTGTAAATATTTATTCCATTGTTACTCTAATGTGATTGGTCAATCAAATTTAGATATAAGGGTCATTTGGCATAAATTTTTCATATAAGGGCGTTTTGGTCATTTCTAGCATAGCATAATGATTAGCATTCATTTAATGCCATTTGACTTCTTTAAAACACTTAACAATTAAGCAATCCCATTAGGTAAATGACTAATTTACCCTTGGAGAACTTTTATGGATACTTATTTCATATGGATTTGTATGAAAAGATCATTATACCCTTGGTTATCGTTTACGCCATTTAACCATATCAATTAACTTTATGACCATTCTACCCTCATTTCTCTTCAATGACATCACCCCTTACACTTTATAATGGCCACATCTCGAAATACATGTAAATTGACCATTTTACCCCTCCATTCAAAAAAGAAAATTACTTGAAAAGGTAAATTTCATACCTTAGGGCATTGGAATAATACGCGGGGTTTACAGTGCACCAACAAGGGATTGATAAGTTGTTGGTGAATGAAAGAGAGGACTATCAATAGTCAAATGATTTGAGACAATCATTGGTGTTGCAATTGGCTTTGAATCATGGAGATCAGCTTGGATAAGGATATCTCTTGCATACTTCACTTGACTGAGGAACATTCCCTTTTGAGAATGAGTAACTTCTAGGCCCAAAATATAATTGAGATTGCCAAGATCCTTCATAGAAGACTCTTGCCGTAGCTTGTTAATGAAAGTGTCAAGGAGAGACACATTGTTGCATGTGATGATAATATCATCCACGTATAAGAGTAAATAAATGATGCCATTGTCCGATGAATGAACAAATAAACTAGAATCAGCTTTGCTGCAATTGAAACCAATTTTGATTAAAAAATTGCTAAAGCGATGGAACCATGCTCTCGGTGCTTTTTCAAACCATAGATTGCCTTTTTGAGGCGACAAACATGGTTTGGATGAGAAGCATCAATATATCCCGGTGGTTGTTCCATATAAATCTCTTCTTGTAGGAGACCATGCAAGAAGACATTTTTAACGTCAAGTTGACGTATATTCCAGCCACGAGAGACTGCAATAGAGAGTACAATGAGAACTGTAGAGGCTCTAACAACTAGACTAAATGTGTCATGAAAATCAACTCCATAGAGTTGAGTATAGCCTTTGGCAACAAGGCGTGCTTTGAGCCTATCAAGGTTGTGGGATCAGAGGTAGCGGAAGGCATAGATGTGGAGCCATCAATATATCCATACTAGTTTTGACATTGCAGTAGAGGGACTACTTGGCTACACCAAAGAAGAAAATTGTTTGATGATAGCTTGATTGTTACCATGTGAACCATGGTATTAAAGGAGAGTGTAGAAGAATTTTATGAGGCCATAGAATTGAGTGGAGGTTAATCCTAACCTGGCTCTGATGCCATGAAGAGATTTTAGAGACAATAGTGAAACCACAACAATTGCTTATGGCGTAGGATTCTTCATTATATAGAAAACTGTTACAAGTATTAAAAGCTAACAATAGCAGTACAAGCTATACAAGAAAAGATATCTACATATTCTATATTTACAACTAATCAACTCTTATATATTTGTACAACGTCTGTATTGCCGTGTATTGCTCCTTAATGATTGGATTGATTCTCTGTTTGATTGCTGCCTTGATTGTCTCTAGATTGATTGCTGCCTTGATTGTCTCCAGAGAATAATGCTCTGTTATCGCCAACAACCAGAACATGTTATAAACAAATATCATTCAGACACAATCATTTAGATCTATTTATATTTCATATAAACAAGAATGACACTAAAAGGTGTAAACTGAGAAACTGATTGAATATAAGTAGTTGACTCTTCATATATATATATATATATATATATATATATATATATATCGAGTAATAATGCTACATATAGAAACTATTTATACAAATTATTCTCTATAAACTAATGTGGTAACTTTGCATGTTTATCATGTAATCTCTTTTAATTATTTAATTTATTTTTAAATTTAAAGTTACTCAATCATCTTAAAACACATCAGTTTATTATTATAATGAAGTTATAACTAAATAGAGGTGTACCTACATAAATTACTGTTTTAATTTTTTATTTTATAATTCACGTTTTAATATTAGGATTTCAATTTATTATTTTAGTAGTCATTGCTACAATTAGACAAGAAGATAAAAGAAATAATCTTGAAGATAATAGTATGGAAATACAAAATATTTTGTACCAAAAAACTCTTAACATGCTTGAGAAACTAGAAATATTTTAACTTCAACAAGAAGGTATCCATGCTAACAAGTTATTATATAATTGCAAGTTAAAAGATGTGCTAACAACTTTAAAACATAAATCATTGTCCCAACACAACTTTAGATAAATATTTGATTTCATCTTAAACCTTTAATGTAACATAACATATATTTTTTTGCAATACACAAATAATTATTACTATGTAGAGGCAACTTTCTTAATACGTGAATTAAAAAAATTATAACTTATTACAATTTGAAATTTATTTCTATTTATAACTATCCCAAGTTAAGACTAAATTTTTTTTTATAACTATATAGGTATTATTCCTATATAGAATATTATTATAAGAAGGTTTTACTGTATATATATAAAAGGTTTAATTATGAGAAATAAAACTACAGGGGGTTCACTAAAACTTAACCTTGTTAATATTATTTTTTGTTTACTTTGGCTCACAACAATCAACTATGTTTATTAAAAAAAATATTAATATAAATAGATACACAAAGTCATAACTAACTCAAAAAAAAAAAAAAAAAAAAATTTTAGGGTGCGTTTGGCTCCCTATTTCTACCCATATTTCCAATCCTATTCTCCAAATATTGTTCGGCACATTATTCCAGAAATATTACTATATTTTTTTAATTACTTTTAAACCCCTTAAGTTTATTAATTTCATTAAATACCCCCAGGATTTTTTTTAAAAAAATTAACAAAAACATCCCCATCAACCCATACTTGCTAGATTCTAGCAACCACTGTAGGTGGTAGTTGGAATCTGTACGACGGCCTACACCATGACCAGAACTAGCCGGTAGTTCACCGATCTGCCCTTTTCCAGCCAGATCTGGCCATCAGTGACGGCCAAATCTTGGCCATCGTTGACCGAAAATGACAGCCAAAGATGGACTTCTTTGGCCTTTTCTGGCCATCGATGGCTATATCTGGCCGTACATCTGGCCTTTTCTGGCCAGATCCGTGGTGGATCTGGCCGAAAAAGGCCATAGTGACACGTTATGACACATATCCGACCGGTTTGTGTCGTAACGCAATTTTTTGGCCAGATTCCGACGGTGGTGGCCGGAATCTGACACTGTGGGTGGTGGGGGTGTTTTTGTCATATTATATGTTGGGGTGTTTAATTAAATTAGCAAACCTAGGGTTTTTTTATAAATTTTACCTCGTAATACTCCCCTATTCAACTACCCAATATTATTCCCAAAATTCTATCCAAAATAATAAACCAAACGCACCCTTAGTTTTTCAAGTCATTTGTTTTTATTTATGAACTCATGCATATGAATTCTTTTAATTCAAACAAAATAATCTTTATCATTACAAACATGCATAGATGCGGCAGAATCTAAAACCCAACCTTTTTCACCCTTTGAAGTTTGAGTTTCATCTTGATATGTTACTAAAAATTCACCTTCATTATTAGCAACCCAAGCATCATCCTTCGAATTCTTTACCTGTTGAGCCTTTTTGAAAGCAAGCATATCCTCCATTAATTTTTTGTAGCATGGTTGGATATGTCCCTTCTCTCCACAATAATAATACTCCTTATTACTGTAATATCTGACTTTTGATTTATCACCCCTCTCTTGAGTCCTCCCTCGATTAGAACCTTCTACAACTAGTAGATCTTCTTTAAATAATGAGTTCTCTGATCCTATAAACCTTTCATTCTCATGCAACAAGGCAATCAGATCATCTAATTTTAAAGTAGATCTGTCTACCAACAAAGTTTGAACTAAAGGTCTATAATATTTAGGCAAAGATGACAACAATATCAATGTCTTTTCTTCATCCTTTAACTCATCAGAAATAGGCAACAATTGAGATACTAGCCTATTAAATTCATTTAAATGATCATGGAGACTCGTACCTTCATCTATCTTCAGAGAATACAAATCCATCTTCAAACACAACCTGTTAGTCAACAATTTCGATGCATAAATACCTTCCAATCTTTTCCACAAACCCTTTGGTTAGACTCAGTCAACACGTTGTACTTTATCTTTGGAGCTAAAGCCAACTTGGTTGTACTGACAATTCTTCTCTGAATTCTATTCCATTCTCTATCAGACATCTTCTCTGGCTTACTTTCTTCTAATGCCTGATCAAGAACTTGTTGTACCAAAAGGTCTTGTATCGAACTTTGCCAAAACATAAAATTAATATTACCATCAAATAAAGGAACCTCAAACTTAGATATACCTCCAAAAAATTTGAGATGTTTGACAATCGTTGATCTACTTATCACGAGCCGTGGGCTCTAATACCATTGTTGAAAAAAGATCCCCACAATTCAAACGTAAAATTAAAGCAAGCAACCAAAAAAAAAAAAAAAT